CTTTGAACGAGGTAACCAAGGCTTTCATTGGCACTGCTGGGGATGTCGTCAGAGTCTAGCCCCATCTTCTTCCTGAACATCAGACCTCCAAGGCCGGGCCGATTGAAGATGGATTGTTTCACTTGGCCTCCATCGTCGTCGTCATCTCCGAAGCTGTCCATTTCTTCTAGCATGTTCTCGTCCTGCTCGTTGAAGACGTCCACAAAGTCTGGGTTCTCAGATCCGCTCTCTGGTTTGAGGAAGATAACGTTCCCACTTCCTTCTGACCTCTGCAGCGTGCCTTTGTCCTTCTTCCCAAACTTCTTCAGGAGTGTGCCTTTAATAGAGCCAACTTTATCGTCAGTGATGAGCTTGGAGAAGTGTTCGTTGACGCCCGTGATGGTGCCATCGTTTGACAGTGACGATGCCGTTCCTGCATCTGAAAAGGAGCCGGAGTTGCTTCCACGCTGCATTCTATCCATTTTGCTCTTGTGTTTTTTCTTCACCTTCTCACAGAGTTTCACACGTTTCTCTGCCTCTTTTTCTGCCTCTTTCTTCAGATTGGCGACCTTTTTTGGATTTTGGTTGGTCTGCTTTGCAGCAGCAGCGTCGAGGAAGCGCACACACTCCATGTGGTCGCGAGAAGCGGCGACATCCATTGGCGTGTGGAATTCATTGTCCAGAGCAAAAAGGTTGGCGCCGAAGTTGACCAGGAAGCTGAGGATGTGCATGTGGCCGTTACCTGCTGCATGGTGCAGGGGTGTGTTTCCCCAGATGTCACTCCTGTTGGGATCTCCTCTGTACAACACGAACACACACACAAGATTTTTCATCATTAGTGTTGATATTTTCATTATTTGGCTATTCTGTATTCCTGATTTATACCAAACTCCATGCATAGTAGTTTTTCATGAATTTAGGGAAAATAATAAACTGATAAAATAAAAATGACATTTAAAAAAATGTCAGTCAAGGATCAGTCCAGGAAATTAAATTAAAACAGAGAATAGATCCACATCCAAATCTAGCACATGACAAATTAAAGATGGATGAACTTAACTGGTGAGCTATTAAGACTTAAAGTCCTTTTACTGCTGCCTCCCTGTCAAGTTTTGATTGCTGTGTGACTGCTACACCTTGTCATAAATCCCAGTTCATGCTGCGTAATGACCAAAGAGGAAATGGTTTAGATAATCCTGGCCACGTAGACAAGACACGCTTTATGCTCATTGAAATATAAATAAAATTAAATAAATCTTATGCATTCTCTGAATCTCAAAAGTCTGTAAGAGCACTGTGCCAGATTTTGTATGGTCTTGGTTGTAGTGAAAGAGGGACGGCGGTACATGTGGAGTGGCGGTGGTGGCGGTGGTGGCACGGCCTGGATGAACAGCTCTTTTGTTTTTGTGAGATGGGTTGGGCTGGTTAAACTTTTGGCTCAGCTAATGGGAAATAAAGTCTTAGCTCATTAAAATGGAGTGAACAATAGCTGTGGAAAAAATCCAGATGAAGTGCCAAAAACAACGTACGTATGAGAAATCATAAAACACACTTTATTTCATGCTGGTCAACCTTTGCTCTGTGAGCACTGTTCCTGGTTCCGCTGTAGAGCTTAATCTTATTTGGTTTTATAAAATATAATATATTTAAATGTAAAGATTTTATGTCTAACTGTATGTTTTCTTTAGAAATGACAGAAAAATTACACAGCCTGAAGAAAACACTTGACGACAACTCATATGTTCAGGTCGTTTTTGTCTCAGTGTAAGATGTGAGATGAAGGACAGGCGATAGAAAGCTTACTTTCTGCTGCATATGAGCTGAAGAGCACTGATATGTCCATGAAAAGCAGCCAGTATGGTGGGAGTCATGCCATCCTCATCCGGCGTGTTCAGGTCCTTCACCGTGGCCTCCTTCAAGAGTTCCACGTATCCATCAATCGCTGCTTTGTGGTACCTAGACATCTCTGGTAAGAAGGGAAAAGCTTGGAGAAAAATAAAAATCCAAGTTTCTCTGCGCCCCACCTGGCTAACGTCAGATGAGCAGAAGCGACTGCAAACCCAAGCAAACAAAGCAATGACTGGGCGTCAACGCACCAGCAGCTCGGGGCCATAAAACAAAAGCAAAGTTCGCTTCACTGCTGTGAGCTGCCCCATTTCCTCAACACTATAAAAAAATCCCTTACTGCGATTTCACCCAGAAAACGTGTTCATACACAGCAGGAGTTTCTGCTGTAATCACTGTTTCTTCACAGGTTTGAAGGCAAAAGCAATCTTTATGAAAGAATAATATATTGTTGTGGATTAGAATGACCAGTAAAATGAAAATGGAACATTATCTGTTATTTCTAGTTTTCAGGTTTTAGCTCGTTAGAACTCTAAATTCTTCATCAACATTAGTAAGCTGATGTTTTTATGATACATTTTTATTCTGTAATTTGTAGAAAAGTATTTAAACGAGTAAAAAGCGACATCAACTCCCTCTGTTACCTTGAATCAACTTAAAACTTGGAACATTCAACTTTTTAACTTAAAGCGTTTA